TGACGTAGAGGGTGGCCGTGTTGTCAATGTGCGAAGCACTGCACCAACTGTTTTCTGAACCGTACCTTAGTCATCAAGTTGGAGCAAAAACTTGCTTCCTTCATGGTTGATGCCGCAGCCTTCAGCTCTGCTTCCATGGTTAACATTGCAGTTAGCTTTGGGTTTCCGCCTTGAAGCTCACGGGAGACTTCGACATCATGATGAGGTGTGCTCAGGTCGATTGCCCGTCGTCCGGGTTCTTGCCCCAGTTGAAGCCGAAAATGTAGTCAGATTTTGCCTTCCTCGCTTGTTACTTATGTTTGAGTCCATTGCTTCAGCAATATACAGCACAGCGTTCTTCACAGCACCCATGTGGGCCTTGGCTGGCTTGGACATTGCGCGTGCAAGCTGGCTCGTGGAGTACATGACATTGCACCGTGTGATTTGAAGTAGATACATGATCGACACGGTAAGCGGTTTGTCTCTTTGTTTCCTCCTTGTTGAGAAGAATCTCAACCAGCTGCTCCATGGACAGCTCCGATCCGAACCCAGGGATAAACGTGGGCATGCAGTTTTCTATCCTATGCCGTGCAAGAATGGATTTGGTGTAGTCTTCCTAGGGTATGGTGATAATCATATCTCAAGCAGATGAAACAAAATCCATTCTTGCACGGCCTGGTATGGAGAGCTGCGTGCCCACGTCTATCACGAGGCGGTTCGGAGCTGTCCTCGGAGCAGCAGGTTGAATCTCTTCTCAGCAAGGACGAGACGCAGAGCTACCAAGCCATTAACGGTCGATCATGTATCTGCACATATCACACGGTATCACGTCATATACTCCACTATCCAGCTTGCAAGTGCAATGTCCAAGCTAACCAAGGTCCAGATGGGTGCTGCGAAGTACCGTATGCGGCATCTTGCTGGAACAACGGACTACGGCATAACCAACAAACGAGCAGGGTTATCCTTTCGGATGCCAAGTGGGGCAAGAACCCCGACACGGGCAATCGACCTGAGCATACTTCGTTATGCTGTCGAAGGCTCAACTGAGCTTCAAGAGAGGGATCCAAGGCCAACTTCATCCCATGAACTTCAGACGGGAACCCAACGCCATTTGCAATGTCAAACATGGAAGCAGAGCTGGTGGCTGCAGGGTATGAGCTATGAGGAAGCATTTATTTGCGCAGACATGATTGCCCAGCTAAATAGGTTTTCTCGAGTTATGGTTGTAGCACCAGTTGTTCCCGCCGGAGGTCCACGCAGGACAGACAGATACACAGACGTTAGTCCAAGCAGGAGGATGGTAGTATCCACGGGATAGCAAGGATAGTTAATATACCCAGACGAACCGTCGTCACACGGAGAGACAACAAAGAGTGAGGTCAATCACCAACGTCGAGATATGCGATGTGTTGCGCATTTCCTCGGCACACGGTACATGTCAGCTGACATTCACTTCACTACATAAGCAGTGGTACTGAGCATTGAATACAGATAAAGATATGCAGAGGTTGCTGTGGCACGATCTTCAAGCTGCGGTCGTATGTGTGGAACTTGGAAGGTCTCTTGCGCGAAAGACAGAAAAGTATAATAACGTCCAAATCCCGAAAATAATACATCGATAGATTCTGCTACGCCTCTGCGATTTCGAAACCACATCGGTACATATGAACAAACAGGCCGAGAAGGATTATAGAAGATGCGCATGCCATCACTGAAAGACTACCCGTTCGCGATACTACCACAGTCGAAGGGGGGGGTGTTGAGAGTCTTTGCAGTGAGAGAAGGAAAAAACCTACTTGAGGTACATGCTGGGCTTGTTTTGAATCTGTTTAAGCCTATACACTGATTCGTCACTGACTCCGGTTGTCCCCATCACATATTCTCTGATCGCATTCAACGAGCTATTAGTAGAACGTGGACTAACGGTCATGTTTTGCTGTTTTCCCTTTTCGTCTTTCGACGAAACGCATGCAAGACTGCGACATGAAGCCGGCCAACATTCTTCTCCTGAGTGACTGCCAAGTAAGAATCACGGACTTCGGGCTTTCACGGAGTACAAAACACCCGCTGTTCAAGGATGGAGGTACGACAATGAGCGGAGCGGCGGACGACGAGTGAAGTCGGATAGTACCGGAGGAATGGCCAGTGCCGAGGTCGGTCTTAGAAAATGCCAAGTCTCCAACAGAAAACTATTGATATAAACGCGAAGAGCCTCTCGCTCAGATAATACCGTGGTGAGATTTCTTTCTCGCGGGGTTTGCCATCAGCAAGATGCAACGCCAGTACCCAACATAGTAGTAGGATGTGCTTCGGATTAAACTGTTGGCGTTATCTCCCATCAGATAAACTACAGCGGCTGGGATTCCTTATGCATGTGCTCAACAACGCGCAGGAACGTGAGACGGGAGAAATTATGAACGCCCGCAGAACCTACGAAACAGCTTGTAGACAATTACCTACCTACCAGAGCTATTTGCTGCATTATCCGTAGCTCACAGAATTGCTCTGCTACAATTCCGGTGGGCCTAATTCCTCTCCCTGCGCTGCGGCAGATGTGGGAACGAGGTGGTACCGTGCACCAGAAGTGATGCTCGGATCTGAAGGCAGTTGTGCACAACCAGTTGACGTCTGGTCCGTTGGCTGCATATTCGGCGAGATGTTGGGGAGTCAGGGGCCACTCTTCCCTGGCAAGAGCGATACCGATCAGGTAAGGAGAGACTCAAGACTTGCGGCTTTTCATGCTGAGGACACTGATTCTCTTTATTGCCGAAGGTCAATATCTCGCGAGATACTTGTCGAAACGGGATAGTTGTCGAAAATACTCCCCTCCTGCAAGCTTTTCACTCCCTGAAAATAAATTAAGTCATACGCAGCTGTCATCCGTACGCAAGGAAGTAAGCACAAGATGCCGAACACCCTTAGCAGGATGCAGTGCACCGTTCATGCGACTCGCCGAACACCTCACGGCGCTTCGCGCTTGGTGATGTGAGAGCCTGGTCCGGTGAGAACCCGGCGTGCTCCGTCCCGGCNCCCCCCCCCCCCCTCCTGCAAGCTTGTTGCGTGTTACACCTCCCGAACGACAGTCCAAGCCCGTGTCGCGATGTCCTCGGGAGGAAAGTGTCGCGCTTCCGTCTACTGGCATCCCACGATGATGCTGTTGTTTTCATTTGCGCCATCCACGTCAGTATGCCCCAAGGGGCGTCGACGAATCCATGTGCCGAGTAATAGATAGCAAGGGACGGCTCGGTAACGATTTTTCAGTTTGGTAACGATTGGTTCGGGAACCAGCGAACACGGCAATTCACGATTTTTTCACAAACAGCAAGGAGCGGCTCAATCTGTCTTCGATGAGGGCTCCGACTCCGCTGTCACAACCGCCAGCCCGGGATATAGTCCAGTAAACGTCCCCAGCGGTATCATCCAAGCTAGCTGGACTTTGTTCGTGGATACAAATCGTTTCGCGATGGCAGGTCAGCCTCACGCTGGCTGCCGTCGGCATGCCCGACACCGAAAGGAATACCTGCCTCGGGTACTCGCTGAACGAGGATGCTCTGCAGTTGCTACGAACGGTAGATCCTTCCGAAGGTGAGGAGGAAGAACAGTTTGACCGGCGAATTGTCCACGTGGCGTTGACTACTGTAGGCCGATAAGAAATTAACAAAATGTTCATCGGGTAGGCTGTAGCCAGCTTTCGCAGAGAGGCGGAGAAGGGATGCTAAATCTGGCCGCGTCCGGAGGCTGCAAGCAACTTCCGCAAGAAAACACGTGTACGACCTATCGATGCGTTCGAACGGGACACTCCCAACGCGAAATCAAGAAACGCTCGTCGAACACAATAAACGCATACCAGTTTCGGTTCGATTCGCGGCTCCCACGTCCATGCTAGACTATTGATACCACAAAATCCTGTTTCCCCCCGGCTGTTGTTGGACCATTTTCAGGACGTTCGCTTCGATCCCTAGTACCTCCCGATGTTGGTGAGGAGGATTTCGACCTGCTGAAAAAGCTTTTGGACATGAACACTCAGTTAAGGCTGACGGTAGCTGAAGCGCTGGGTCATGCTTTTCTGGAAGATTACCCTGGGCTCCTGGGCGCGACTGCCTCGTCCAAACATTCCTCCGCTGTCGAAACTTCGATCGGAAACCTTAGCGAGAGCACTGTCGACTTCAGGCAAGCAGTTTTCTCAAGTGATGGCCCTGTGTGTTTCTCACGCGTGACCGGCCGGTCGGTAGTTCTGGATGACGTCACCATCGGTCGCTTATTTTTTCGCCGGTGGCTTTCTTGGCTTGACTCGTATGGAACAATTCTTGTAGTCGCACGGAAGACAACTTCCTCGCGTTTTTATTTTTTGGTCGATCGCGTTCTGCGCATGCCCGAAAAACAGCTCTGAAGACGGCGGTCTTACCGCCGAGGAGCTTGGGAAGCTTATCGTAGCGGAGGCCGCAGTACACCAGGACACCAGACCGGAGCTAGGCCGACGAGGGTGCAGCAGGAAAGGCGACGATGCTCCTGCGGGCCGTTCGGCACTTGAGTCAACGCTTACCTTGAAGGTCGGTGCTATTTTCAAGCTAAAACAAACAACAGCAGTAACGCATTGCAGTGCGTCCTTCTCATGTCTCCGAAAAATTAAAGACACCTCTGGGCGCTAGCTTTTTGTTTTTCGTCCTACTATCATTCTTGGCGCCAACCTTCACCTTCCCGGTATGTGTTTGTGACGCGCCAGTCGGGTCACACAGGGAGATCTCTCCGCCTTTCCTCTCATGCGTTGCTACTGGAAAACGTGCAGGGGCGGGGGCCCTTTCAAGCCAAGAAAAACAACGATGATTTCGCTCATGCCCTGTAGCACTAGAGCGTTTCCACTCCCTCGTGTACGAGCGGACATCTTGGAAACATTTCAATCTGCAAGGAAGCGCTTCGTGTCTGGATTGGTCGATTAAAAGGAACCACCGCCGTCCCCTTCGTTCTTTCAGAACGTTCTCGGAGCGGTGCGCACGCAAGCCCGCAACCGCAACCGGGAAATGGATGCCGGGATCGGGGCGAGGGTAGGCGACACCACAAATGGCGACGGGGACGACGCCGATACCAATCTCTTGGACCCCACCGGCCCACCCCAGACGTTTGACACACGGTTCAGCTCCATGGCGAACCTTTCAGACGCGGAAAACGGAGGTCTCGATGGCTTGGATGGGTCCCCGGCTCGTAGCACCGATTCAGACCGGGGGGTGAGACCTGAACCTCACGAGAACCGCGCCGACACCCCAGGTTGTGAGGAAAGCGGGGGGAGTGAGAGGCCCCATCAGCGAGACGGGGAGGGGGCGATCACAACCGGGGTTCCGGACTGCTACCGCGCCAACACTGGAGACGGGAGGACAAGGTCGCCCACAGGCGGCGGCGGGAGGGCAGAGACGGTTCCTCGACAAAAAACGACCAAGCAGCGTAAGAATACGGTGTCATCATCGAAGCAGCTGCTACGTGTCGAGGGTCGAGGCGGGTCGTTCGAGGAGGAGCACGCGGCCTCCCTCATCCAGAGGAGCCACCGTAGAGCGGCGGCGATCAGGCGCGCGAGGAACGAGCACGAGCGGTCTTTTCAGAACCAGCAGTTCATGTTCGGACCAGGGTTTCAGCAGCAGCAGCAGCAGCAGCAGCAGAAGCCCTGCAGCCGGGCCACCAGAGACAGCGGGGGCGAGAGCGGCAAACACTCGGCAAGCCAGGAACGACGCCGCGACACGGTATCCCTCACCCCAAGCGAGGAAGAAGAAAGGCACAAGAGCAGCAGCCTCGCGGCCAAGGCGGCGGCGGCGGCGGCGGCGGCGGCAGCGGTATCTGTTCCAAAACTACCGATCGATTCGTCGGCCTTTTCTTCTTCTTCTGCCGTCGGTGGTGGGGTTCGAAGGGCAGCTCAGAGGGAGCCCCTGGCGATTCTCCGGCAGCTGAGAGACGACCCCGAGGTCCAACCGAAGCCCAAGACGGACCAGTTCAGGCTGCGGGTGACCACCAAGTCGGCGATCGAGGCCCACATCAGGAAGACGGGGGCGGCACGGCGCAAGCCCCACCCGCTCCCGACCGGGCCTTCCTGGAGGAAGGCCGCGACGCCGATGAAGCGAGTAGCGGCAACACGGACCGCGCTCACGAAGCCCCGGGCCGTGTCGCCGCTGCACAGGAGCGTGCGACAGGTCAACACGTTCATCGCGGCGACGGACAGGCAGCGGATACAGCCGCCGTCCGCCGCGGCGCGGCGGGCGCACTCGGCGCCGCCGAGCAGGGCGACGGGCCGGCTCAGGTGCGCCATTTTTGCCGCCGAGACGATGGTGGAGCGCGAGTACGCGCTCGCGGAGAGGCGAAACTCTCTGCTGGGTCCCGACGACTCGCCGGCGGACGACGAGCTGTCGAGAGACTTGCTTGCGTCGCCGCTTTTGGTGCCTTACAAGCCCTCGGCTTGACGGGGTGGATGGGCTGTGGACTAGCAGAGGGGCTTCGGCAGAGAGTTGCACAGTGTACATCGGCATCCCGTGCGGGTATGTTTGAACGACATTGCTCAGAGCTCGCGTTCTCCACGGTAGATTCTGGAACGGATCTGAAAAAAACTGTTGGCTTGTTCTTATCTTCTCCCTGTGCGAGCACCTGTCTATGCTTACTTCTGGAACTGAGAATTTGACTTCTGACCCACAACTTGAACGACTTGGCCCGTCTTCCTTGATCGATCGTGTTTTTCGACCGCAACTGGTCCTGGTAGAGATAATCTTTTAGAAAATAGAAGAGAAGTGCCATGCATGACATCAGGAAAGGACTGCCCGTTTGAGATTGTTCTCAGAAGGGGCGCGTTGAAGTCTTACGTGAGGTTGAATGACACCAGCTGGGTACACGAAAAATAGTATCAGTGCGAGTAGACTACTCCGTGGAACAAGGATTCAGCGATGGTGTCAGCCGGAAAAAAGCCAAGCACACTTGAACATATGATGTTCCTAGTGCGTTTGGCCTGTTCAAGTCTGCTAGGGGTCAACGGCAAAAATGCCGGGGGGGAGAAACCCCCCCGGTCTTGCCGTACGTTCCCAGAACACGTCTATGGACAAATCGTGAGGTCTGCCTACATGTACATTGCTTCCTTGTACATGGGCGCATCGGGTCTGCCTAGTACTCTACATGTACTTTTCGTACAGTGGTTTTGTCGAACAACTCAACTCGACGTCGAACCTTGCTCCGACACACCCTCCGTGTCACGGTTGGCCTTCTCGCCGCCAAGATCAACTCAAAGTGACTCGGCTGCTGTCTACTGTAGTGTTTGTAAGCACCGCACTACAGTAGTGAAGCGGTTGTACGTGTTTGCTCTTGGTCGCACACAGAGAATATAAACTGGTATACGGTTCGTATGATCAACGTTCTTCAAGGCACGTCGCGAAACATCTGAACGGGTAGTGCAGAAGCCCGTAGCCTCTATCTTCCACAAGATACTCCCTCCCTCCCTGGCCGATTTTAGAAAGCTCGATTATTATTTTTTGTACTCTGCAGCAAAGACATCCGGTGAAATCGCCAATAATGGTGGCGTTGGAACCTTTTTGTCAAGAGCTTTCCGAAAAGGTATCGTTTGACTGCTTGTGGCATTCTCATTGCCATTGAGTACATGTATATCGAGCTTCAACACGTTCAAAATAGGGGGTGTTATCTTACGCACAAGACCATCCCAGAAAAAGCACGCAGGTTTCCTCTACTGCGAGACTGCCGGAGTTCACATGGCACCTGAAGCTTTACCGTCCTCCCGAGCGTTGTGCTGGAGAGCTGGAGAGCAGGCGACATCGCGACACACTGCTGTCCAGCGTGCTGTGCATAGCATGATGGCGACGTCTGGAGTGAGGGTACTGCTCCGGTTGTGCAAGACCGGGGCTGTCCCTCGGCTTCGGCCGGCGGAAGCTACCTGGCAACATGGCCGGCGGTCGGCGTCAGGAGTGACGACGACAACACGGCAATCTAATAGCAGTAGTCACCCGGGGCACATCTTGAGAAGCGCTCCAGCAGCAGCACCTTGGCGAAGGGCGAGGGCTACGGGGTTCGGCATGCTGTTACCCAGGCAGACCGCTAGGGCTTTGACGTCTGGCGTGGTGAGACCTATTGTGCGGTACTGATGTCTGGGATTGTCATCTCGGTTACTGTAGCGTGCTTTTTGTTGCAAGGTTTGGGTTCGCGAGGTACTTACCTTTTCTTTTCTCATGCCTACGGATAGCGACAGTCACTGCTTGTTTACGCTGATGAAGTTCGGTCGGCGGTTGCGGCACACGTGTGCCAGCAGCCCGGCTGGGTGTAATCTTTGGAGCTAGTAGTTCGCGCTTATTGAAAGGGGTAAAGGTGCAAATCTAGAGCGCTGCTTGTGTTCTGTTGCAGTCTCTGCTCTCCTGTTTCTGGTGACGTTTTCACGAATCTCGGGCGAGCCTCAGCAAGCCCAAGCATCCGACCTACGGTTGTATGCACATATTTTGCCTAATACGACGATCACAGAGGGCGGATCCAAAGGCAGATGTAGACCGCCACTGATGTGGTACACACAGCAGTCCGCTGTGAAAATACGTTGTTCCTAACACGTATGGTTCCGGCGCAGTAGCGCTGCAAGCACGCTCTTTGTCGGTGCACTCATAGGCTGCCAAGCAATATGTTTGCGTTGAAAAGTTTAAGTCTGCTGTTCCACCGCTTCTCGCATTTACCACACATGATAACGGCCGCTCTCTCCTGTGTGTGAAGTCAGTTGTTGTTCTTGAGACGTCCGAACCCAACGCGCACGATTTTCTCACTGTTGACATCCACCCCACAAACAGGACTTCACGGTGGTGAACATGCCGGCGCTGTCGCCGACCATGGAGAGCGGGACCGTGACGGAGTGGCACAAGTCCCCGGGAGACGAGCTATCGGCGGGAGACGTGATCTGCGACGTCGAGACGGACAAGGCCACGGTGGCCTTTGATGTCCAGGACGACGGCGTTCTCGCGAGGATCATCTCGGAGGCGGGGTCGGGCGAGGTGTCCGTGGGGAGCCCCGTGGCCGTCATCGTCGAAGACGGCGACGCATACGCCGCGTTCGTGAAGGCCGACGCCGCCGGCGAGGTGGACTTTGCGGCGTTGGGGGGCGGGGGGGATACTGCGGAGGCGGCGGTGGCGGCGCCGGTTGCGGCAGCCGACAGCAGCAGCGGCAGCAGCAGTAGCAGTAGTAGTAGCAACCTGCCGGAACGGTCTGTGCCGGAGGCGTTTTTGTTTTCGCCGGCCGCGAGGCACATGGCGCAGAGCAAGGGCATCGATGCGAGCTCGCTGGAGGGGACGGGCAAGGGCGGGCGCATCACGAAGACGGACCTGGTGCTGGCCATGGCGAAGGGGGTCGAGTTCCCGGCCGCCGCTAAAGCCGCCTCTTCGCAGGCGCCGGCGCCGGCAACAGCAGCAGCGGCACAACCGGCGGCGCCGGCGCCGGCGCCGGCGGTGGCACCGCCGGTAGTTCCGTCCAGCAGCAGCGGGGACTTCGTGGACGAGCCCGCCAACAACATCAAGAAGATCACGGCGAAGCGTCTGACCCAGTCGAAGGCGGAGGTGCCGCACCTGTACGTGTCGATGGCGTGCGAGGTGGACGGGCTCATGGCCTTCCGAAAGACGCTGCAGAAGGAGCACGACGTAAAGGTTTCGGTGAACGACATCATCATCCGCTCCGCGGCGCTGGCGCTTCGAGACGTACCGGAGGCGAACGCCAAGTGGTCCGGTGGCGCCCGCCAGTCGAGCGAGTCCATCGACATTTCGGTCGCCGTCGCGACGCCGACGGGGCTCATCACCCCGATCGTCACAGACGCGGACCAGCGGGGGCTCAGCAACATCAGCGGCAAGGTCAGGGACCTGGCGACGAGGGCCCGCGACCGGCAGCTCAAGCCGGAAGAGTTCCAGGGCGGCAGCTTCACCGTGTCCAACCTGGGCATGTTCGGGATCAACGAGTTCTCGGCGGTGATCAACATGCCGCAGGCTTGCATCCTCGCCGTCGGGGGCGGCGCGCCCAAGGTCAAGCCCGGCAGGGAGGCTGGGGACAAGCCGCGGGTGTGCTCGGAGGTGACCGTGAGGCTGTCGGCCGACAGGAGGGTGGTGGACGAAGCCATCGCGGCCCAGCTGCTGCAGTCGTTCAAGCACTATATGGAAACGCCCGAGCTCCTCCTGATGTGAATGAGGGACGCCGCGGTGTGTGCTGCGTGTTAGGCGAAAGACCTAGGTTGCGCTGCCGCCTTTGTTGGTTCCTGTGTGCACATATTTTTTATAGTTTTTTTGTGCGTCGAAGTGGATGTGGTGCACAACGCCGGCGACGGGTTGGCGGGAGGTCGTGTTTGTAAGACTTTGTATACGGTGTATCGAAGCGATTGCGCAGATTAGGGTTGGTCCTACCGGACGTGAGCGGCGACCTTCTTCCTATGTGTCGGGTTTGGTGCACACACCAGAGATTGGTATCGTTCAATTTTGTTCAGCTTTTCCCCAACACCGTGTTATTTTTTACAGTGTGCGGCAAGGTTCTGGCAAAGCGAAACAACCGCCAGCCTCTGAAGACGTAAAAAAGTGTCAGCATGATCACTATAACCCCCGTTCATGTTGATCAACGCCAACGGGACATGATATTTTCTCGTTGAAGAAGATGCGAAACCGCATATTCGTGGTCGCCTTAAAAAACGCCATCAGCTGACGCGCTCCTTTTGATTGTCTTGGGGCGCCCCGGTCGTTGTGGTTGATCTTCCACATTTCACACCAAAGACTAGCGGTTGCTCTTGCCAGGTTACTCAAAGAATTGTACTCAAGAGGGACACGCTTCGTTTCCTATCTGGCACGACAAGAGACTCTCGGCGAGTTTAATTGCAGTTTTTGTTGTGCTGGGCCGTGTGCAACCAGTATATCCCCCTGAAAAACATGGCGTGGGTCTGCAGCGGTTAGCCGTTGGTGCTGCCATTATTAAATCACACTAGATTTCTTCCAAATATTGGAGGGCAGCGCTCCTCCTTTTGTTTTCTATGCATAGGGCCTGTGAGTTTTCCCACGAACCGCAGAAACGCCTAGTGTCATCGCATCAACAAACTCGACGGAAGGGGGGGGGGGGGGGGG